TACGTTTATGAACGTAAACAAATTTACTATATAAAAAGGTTACAATGCCTTTGATTTTAACATGGGCGGTAATTGGCGCTAGAGAATTTTCATGCTACTAGTGACACTTTTTTGATTTTTTTTTTTTTAATAATATTTATTTTAAAAAAGGTAAATAAATAATTTTGTGATTCTATAGAATTTTAAAAATCTGTAATGATAATTGCTAGTATAATAATTATATGAGAAAAATATTTAAAAATTCGCTTTTAAAAAAGTGACCAATGTTAACCGAATTATTAAAAAATTTAAAATTAGCTTGGGGTTGTCAGTTTGGTTGAAAAAGAAAAATTTTTTTTTTACTAAAAAGATTTTCCCTGAAATGAAAATTGAACATTTGTGTGATCTAGAGATCTTGAAGATTACAAATTAAATACTCATAATAGAAATTAATGATTAAATAAATAGCAAAATCAATTAATGTGCCACTAATTGGGTTTTTTACATTAATATTTAAAATATATGAAAAATTGATGTGGGGTTATTCAAATCAAAGGTCTCGACGAGTGTAACATCAAGATGAGCTTATATCTTAAAGAATGTGATTATTTCCCAAGATACAAGGTCATTTCTTAAATTATATACTTTCACCCTCTAAATTAATTATTTACCCAGGTTGTCGAATTCGGCTGTTCGGAGCTAAGTTTCTTCGTGTACCTCAAGAACACACCCTCGATAGAAGAACTCCTATTCGTGGACATCGACCGAGAGGTCCTAGAACAAAACAAGCGTAAGATCGAAGCGCTCAGCTCGGACTACCTTCACCTGCGAGAGCGTCCCCTGAACGTGTTCATCTACGAAGGGAGCATCAGCTCCAAAGACCGGCGGTTGGTGAACACCGACGCAGTGATTGCGATTGAATTAATCGAGCACCTGTACCCCGAAACTCTCTCCAAGGTCCCTGAAGTGATCTTCGGCTTGATGAAGCCGCAGGTGGCAATTATCACAACCCCAAACTCAGATTTTAATGTTCTGTTCCCTAATTTCTCGGGGTCGCGCCACCCGGATCATAAATTCGAGTGGTCCAGGTCGGAGTTCAAGACCTGGTGCTTCCAAATTACCTCCAGGTACCCGGAGTACGTCGTTGAGTTCTCCGGCGTCGGGGAAGGTCCTCCAGGTTCGGAGCACCTCGGGCCTTGTTCCCAGATCGGGATTTTTAAAAAGAGCACCTTTGTCCCTGGAGAAGATGTTGCACCAGGAGTCGACCTGGAGGACGTCTTCGAGTTAGTACACGAAGATCATTATCCAGTGTTGGTTGATAATCGCTCGGACGAGGACAAGATTTCTGATGAAGCTTCGTACTTCCTCCGGAGCTTCCACCTGAACAACGATCTGGACGAGATGCCCCTGGAGCGGCTGGCGGAAATCATGGAGACCAGCATGGAGACTCTAAGGGACGTCCTGGAAGCCCGAGGCTGGGAGCTGCTCGACCGCGACGAAGGAGTCTTCGTCGTCTGCAAGCCTCTTAGTGTCGTCTCCGAGTTCGACGAGAATTCGGACATGGACGTCGCTGATGACGTCGACGCCTCCTGGGATCAAGAGTGGAAGCCTGGACCTGGTCCTAGATGTGATTGGCAGCCAATTCCTGGCCCCGATGCCAAGGTTCACCAGGAGGCCGCTTCCCAGAAGATGACCTTGGATCTTGAAACTGACTCTGGGTATCCTTGCACTTCTTCTATTGTTGATGTTACTCCAGAGAGCGAGTTGTCTAGTATTGTGGATGACCTTGAGGAAGCTCCAAGGCAGGAACAAGTTCTGCTCCAGGTTCCTGTTCAAGTGGAAAATGGAGACCTGGCGAATAATAATAGAGACGGAGAGGGGAATAATGTCCTGGCTCGGGAGGGTGATGGTGATTTTGAAAATGAAAATGTTTTTTAGTTTTTTGGAGGGACTTGTGGGTCAAATTAGTCCTAATTGGACTTTAATTGAAGCTTAAGGTTCAAATTAATTAGCAGGACTTAAAATAATTCTCTATTGTCATTATTTTTTTAGTTATGATTAATTTAACTTTGAAAATTAAAAATTGTAAGAATTATTGTATTATTTATTAATGTTAGTGATTTTTGAGTTATTTGAGGGAGCTTAGTGGTTCAAATGAGTTATAATTGGGCTTAAATTAAAGCTTAAGGTTTATATTAACTAGCAAGACTAAAATCAAGTCATAAAAGTTGTTAATTGTGATTATTTTTTAGTATTATTAGCTCTAAAACTCCCAGAAATGCGAAAATCATAATTGTTTTTTATTACACTCGTTGATGAATCAAAATATTGATAATAATGGTACTAGTAATTAAATTGTGTATCAAGACTGAGTAACATATCTGTATCGATTACTGTTTAAATAAATAAACCATTGATAAACAATATTTTATTGTTTCATAATTATAGTCTCGATATTTTTAAGATAACGCAAATTTAAAAATTTATAAACTTGATTGGTTGATTAAAATTAATCACCAAATTATTTTTATGTCTTCGCCGGCATTGTTAAGAATCCTTAGACACTCAGCTTCAAGAGCCACTATGAATTTTTTTAAAAATAAATTTTTTTTACAACGTTTTCAGCGCCCCCAACCTAAAAAATCACCTTTTTCAGTAATTTTTCATGTTTTTTTGTCTCTAAGAGTCTATAACTTTTTTTCTAATAAATATTTTTGAACCGGATAAATTTTTGTTGAAAGATTACAAGCTATAATTTTTGTCCGAAACATTTTTTTCTAGGATCGATAATTTTTTTGATAAAAATTGTCAAAGTTTAAAAACCAAAAATTTGCAAAAAAAATTCTTCAAATTTTGACCATAGATTAAAAATAGACAACTAATTATTCTTATGTCTTCGCCGGTATTTTTAGAATCCTTAGACCTTAAACTTTAAGCTCCTTTATAAATTCTTTCAAAAAAAAATTTTTTTGGCCAAGTTTTCAGCGCCCCCAGCTCAAAAAAACTCATTTTTTGACTAATTTTCCGCGTTTTTGGTCTTTAGAAGCTTAAAACAATTTTTCTAACCAAAATGAAGGAACAGAACAAGGTTGGATTTAATAATAAAGACTTATTTTTTGGATGAATAAAACTTTATTGAAGTTTAGAAGCTCAGAAATTTACATATCCTTGACAGGAATCTCCCTCGGGAGCTGACCATCAAAGTCCGCTTGGTACTTGTCGATGTCATCCTGGTTCATTTTATTCTGGAAGTCTTTAGAAAAGTCGTAGCCCTGGATCGTGAAGCCCAGGAACCCTCCGAAGCCTTCAGTGCGCGCGTAGTACAGCTCCAAGCCTGCTAAAGCAGTTTTCTTGTCAGAATAGGTGACATCCTGGAGTGTGATGTAGGGAATGGTGTGCTGGCCCATGTCCACTTCGTACCCAGTAGTTCCAATCTTGACCTTGTCATTTGGATTTGATACGATTTGATTTTTCGGTGCTAGAGCAGGGTCGTCAAGAGAGCTCAATTCAATCTCTGACCTGGAACTACCAACGTTAATTCCTAGCTTCTAGAAGCCATTAATCAAACATACCTGTCATTATCGTAGAAAGATGGCTTCCGAGGGGAGTTTTTCCAGGTGATCCAATCGTGGACCACATCCTCGTCCTCTAAATTAATCGGGTCCTTTAGTTCTCCAGTCTTGCAATCAAAGGGCCAGGACAGGATCTGGATTTGCACGGCATCATCATCTTGAGAATAGACCAGAGACACTCCAACGATCACCTCTCCATAAGGAGTCTCGACTTTGTCAAGATTGACCGTCCTGCTGTCTCGGTTGAAGATCTTGTAGTCTAAATTGTCGTAGAGCTGCTGCTTGCGTAGTCTTTTGCTCGTCTGAAAGGTTCCATTCTTCGGGTCGTAAGTGAACGAGTCTAGCTTCTTCCACTTGGAAGTCCCGGACAGGATTTCCCCCAGCGGCCCCAACTTGGATTCCTCGATCTGGACGTGGAACACCTTGTTATTCTCTTGGAACCTCACCCCGGTGACGACCCTGCAAAATATTGTCATTTACAGACCCTTTGATCACCAGCCAACAACATCCAACCGGTATTTTTGCTCCCAATAGCAGGATGTCGATTATTTAACCGGATTAGAATCAGACTTACATGTTCTTCTTGATGTCAGCAAACTGGGGAAGCAAGCTGACGGTTCTGGTGGCTTTGCTAGGTGGATCTTCTTCCGCGCAGGTGCACAGGCAAGTTACACATATCCCTGATGGCCCTTCTCTGTCCTTGATATCAGTTACATTCCCCTCACAATCTCCATCATATTTTCCGTAGTGTTTTTGCTGTCCTTCACTCCAGAGCCAGGAAAATCGGCGGTCTGATGTAGGCTCCTAAAATCCAGATTGCATCCAAATCACAAATCGTTCTTCAAAAACTACAAAACTGATTAGTAATTTTCCTTAACTTACCAATTCGCAAACATTTGTATCCTGGACGCTCATACACTCAAAAAGTCTACCTAAGCACTTTTTCCTGTGACAATGCGACGTCTCTCCATACCCATCCAGTGGCTTGAAGCATTTTTCTATCCTAGTATCATCAAGTTTGTCGCAAGACTCGCCGCATTTACTAATTTCGGATTTGTTGTTTGTGTGGCCTTCGTTAACAACCAATCCTTGGAAGAGACCCATGAATTCTCCGAAAGTTTCCCCTGAAACGATTGGCTATGCTATCACCATTTAGATGACTTAGAGTCTTAAAATTACCTCTGATGTGCTCCGAAGGATCGCACGCGTGGAAATTGTCTGAAGTTTCTTCAAATCCAAGCCTGCTGGTCAGGATATACTCCTCGGATTGCATAATCCCCTTGGCGACGGCCTTCTGGTTGTCCTCCCCGGCCTTGAGATTCAGAATGAAGGCCCTGAGCTCAGACAGAGCAACTGCTTGGTGAATTTTCTTCAATCTAACTTGGTCAGGATTCGTCAACTGACACATATTTGGCACCTCCGCCTGTAAATAATTGAAATTAGAACCAGTATATACAAGAACAAGCTTCTTACCGTAGCAATCTCCGCTGGAAGTCCGTCGCTCGTTCCATTTCCGACGTAAAGATCATAAAGCTCATCACGGGTCATTGCCAAAGCAGTCAGCTGGGTTTTGTCATCGTCCCCGGGGTCTTTTGTGCCCAGGTTATCCCAAGCTTGGTCAATCTTCTCCACCAGGTCCTTGAGCTTCTGGTACTTTTCACCGTCTTTGTCAGTGTGTGGCACCTGGATCAGGTACGTGTCGATTACTTCAGCATATTTTTTTGTTCCATCGATTTTTAGGTCGTTTAATTCATCAGCGGCTTCCGAAAGTCTGCTCCCTGCGGTCTTGATAAAGACAATCAGGTCGTCGATGTCAAAAACGGCGCTAAGGTCAATTGATTGACCCAAGCTTACAATACTCAGGAATATCAGCAAACGCATTTTGATACGATTTTTTTTAAATAAAACTTTTGTGAGTTTAACTTGTTAGAAATTGTCAAGCTAGTTTTTTATCGATTTGTTATTGTCGCAACGGAGGCCAACTAGCCAGCAATTATTTTAATTGCACCCGACTATCTATTGACTGCAAATTTATTGCAATTATCATAATTTTACCTTCTAGATACTCAGTATGCACAACACATCAATTATAAAAAATAATTGGTTTGTTTTACTATTCGAATTACGAAAAATTGGTTAAAGTTTTTAGAAAATCCAACAGGTGGCGCATAGTCGCTAAACTTTTCACTAGTAGAGCCTTAATTTCTAAGATATTAAGGTGATTGAAGTAAAAAGAGATATGTGAAGGAATGATTAAATTTTATTGAATATTTTGTACTCAGTAATTAACCAATACTTTAGCTTTACTTTCAGTTAAGTAGTACAAACTTATTTTAGTTAGACATTAAATATTTGAGCATGACCCGGGTTTTATGTCCAAATAAATAGTCGAGATTTGTTTTTGTCAGCCGGAATCACGCGTAATTTATTTTTTTTATATATTTTTTATTCGACCATTTATTTATTTATTATTCATTAAATTTTTTAATTTATAAATTGAATTTAAAAAAAATAAATGTGAATTTGTCTGACCGAAATTTAACAGATTCTAATTCAAAGTTGATTTTGTTCTTTTATTATTTTTTATTTTTTATTCTTTAATCTTTACATTTTTATTAATTAATTGGACGATTAAATTTAAAAAAAAATGATTCTTTGGAGATTAAATTTTAGTGACTCGACTATCGCGCTTATTTTAGATTTTTTTTCAATAATTATTAAATAGATGAGATATAATTACCTTAAAAATCCGTAAACTGCAGCAGGACATGGAATCAATCCGTCTTAAATTTAATTATAATCTACTTAAAGCTAATTACGAGCTAATTAATACTAAAGGGAAAGGAATCAGTTAAATAATAAGACAGAATTTTATTCGGTTAGTGCGAAATAATTCGCTTTATTGAATAAAAAAAAAAAAAAATTACGCGACTGGGGACGCAACTGTGCGCATTCACCTGCAATTAATATCGTTAACCGGTAACGATATTAATTGCACCGGCCTTCGTTTGGCTTTTTAAGGCTAAACTTTTGGGAAACCCCAGGGAAACCCGGCCGACACAGCTTACATAATTAAACCACTTGTTTAATTGGCTCAAAAATAACATACATCATACATCACACATACGAATTATCTTCACACTCATACAATCATACGATATACAATTTTATACATTTATAAAATTTTTTATTATTATTAATATTAAAAAAATGGGAGTAAATGAATGTACAGGGGCGCTAAAACAGGAAAAAATTAAAAATTAATAATATTGAGAGTAAATAATCATAAAAATGATGAAATAAAGAAAATAAATGTTATGAATATTATTGAAAGGTAAATAAATATAAAGAAGCTGGAATAAACAATAATAATTGTTATAATAAATATATTATTGGGGATTAATTAAAAAAGGGTGCTGAAAAATTTGAATTATTATTATTATTAATATTATTGGGATAATTAAAAATAGGGGTGCTGAAAAATTAAAATTTGTATTATTATTAATTATATTATTGGGGATTAAAATAATAAGGGTGCTGAAAAGTAAAAGAAAAATTATTATTCTTAATATTGGAAAATTTAAAAATAAAATATAATTATTATTATTAAATTAATTGGGGATTAAAAAATAATAAGGGTGCTGAAAAGTGAAAGATAAATTATTGTTATTAATATTTTTAGGGATAATGAATTTCGGGGTGCTGAAAAATTACATAAAATAAATTATTATTAATATTATTAGGGGTTAAAATAATCGGGGTGCTAGAAAAGAAAATCAAATTATTATTAATTATATTATTGGGGATTTTAAAATATGGGGAGCTGAAATGTAAAATTAAATTATCATTATTACAAAAATTGAGAATTAAAATTATGGGGTTGCTAAAAAAGAAAATAAAATTATTATAAATAATAATGGGGGAGCTGAAAAGTGAAATGAAATTATTATTATTAATATTATTGAGTATTAAAAAATGTAGGGGTGCTGAAAAATTAAAAAAACATTGCTATTATTAATATTATTGGGGAATTTAGAATTAGGGGTGCTGAAAAATGAAAAAAAAAATGATCATTTATAATATAATTGGGGATTAAAAATATGGAGGTGCTGAAAAGTGAAAGATAAATTATTATTATTAATATTATTATTGGGGATTAAATAATATCGGGGTGCTAAAAGATGGAATAAAATTATTGTAAATAATATTATTGGGGATTACAAAATATGGGGGAGCTGAAAAGTGAAATTATTATTATTATTAATATTATTGAGTATTAAAAAATGTAGGGGTGCTGAAAAATTAAAAAAACATTGCTATTATTAATATTATTGGGGAATTTAGAATTAGGGGTGCTGAAAAATGAAAAAAAATTATCATTAATAATATAATTGGGGATTAAAAATATGGGGATGCTGAAAAGTAAATAAAATTATTATTATTATTAATATTATTGGGAATTAAAACATAAATAAGGGCCTTGAAAAACGAAATAAAATTATTGTTATTAATATTATTGAAGAATTTAGAATTAGGGGTGCTAAAAAAAAAAATAAATTATTATTATTATTATTATTATTATTATTATTATTATTATTATTATTATTATTATTATTATTATTATTGGGAATTAATAAATGGACGGTAGCTGAAAAATAGATTAAAATTAAATAATATTAATTGATGAGGGAGTAAATTTGGGAAACTGAAATAATTATTAAATATACAAACAATATTTGGGTTAAGAATAAAAAGTATGGGTAATGAAAAATGGATTAAAAATAACAATAATCATATGCATTTATGTACTTACGGTCTGGCTTACGAATCTTGTTGCTCCTGGTCCTTCTTTGAATTTGGTACCTGGGATTGATCCTTTTGTTCCCTGATTCTTCCTTGTCTCCTTGATCCTTTGGTTAGTCCTTTCCTTGAATTTCCTCTTGAATCCTTGAATCCTTGATCACTTCCTGGTCCGTGGCTAAATCCTTGAATTTCTTGATTCTTTAATCCTTGTTCGTTGGTCCTATCCTTGAATTTCCTCGTCCATCCTTGAATCCTTGATTGCTTCCTGGTCCTTGGCTGAATCCTTGAATTCCCTGAATTTTTTATCCTTGGTCCTTAATTCTTGACCCCTCCATCTGAACAAGACAAAGAACCACACTGATAAGTTACATGTTTTAATCACTATTTTAAAACACTAATTTTTCTTGAGTAATCCTTACATTTGGTCCTTGGTTGGATTATTTTATTCCTTGGTGAATTCTTTGGGTCCTTGATTGAATCCTTTGGCTACCTGTATAAACACACTAAAACACTGATTAACAGCCCCCCTCTCGATTTTTTACCCTCTCGATTTAAAACTAATTATTTATTTTAAAAAATTCATAATAACGATAAAAGCGATCTAATTAAAAAATTCGCGGTAATTATCAGTGTCAAATAATGAGGTTGATGATGAATGTCAAATTGATTTACTACACTAAATAGAAAGAAAAAAAAGGCAACGAATCGACCGCAAAAAGTAGTTCTTAATACTTTTGCGAGTCGATTGTATGCGTGCCTACGTGCGAGACTATAATTTATTTAATGATTTATTTATTATTAATTAATTAATTATTAATAACAACGGTAACCGGTCTATGGAAGTGTAAGGGATGGTTTTGTCTGAGTTGGCTCTCACGACAAGGGTAAGGGAGAAGAAAAGAAGTGACTCTAGTAGGCACGATCGGCTCCCGAAATATCAAATGACTCTACTTTATTATTTAATTAATAAATTAAGAATAAGGGTGGTAAGAGTGTGGTGTGTGTGTGTGTGAAAGAGTGTGTGGAGACCGAAAAGACCGCGATAGAAAAAACACGAACCGCGAAATCAGCTCGATGGTATACTATCATTGTAAGAAAAAATTTAATCGCGGGGAAAAACGGGTAAGTTAGCAACAAATTGACTACTTTTTATTTAGTTTTAAAAATGCCGTTCCATAAATTTTAAGACTTGGAAACCAAAAGAATTGATCAGAGAAAATTAAAAAGGGATTAAACCGTCACCCAAATCGCGCCCGGGCACTCAAGGGGTGAACATGATTAATCCCTAATTAATTCGCTAAGATCAGGATTAATTTGCTTTCCCGGGAAGATCTTATATACAAGATGATGTTGCGCACCATCATCAAGTAACGATACTTCGCGCCTTGTAAAAATTTACCGAGACGGCTGACTCTACGCTAACTTCCCATTGAATTAATTTAATTGAATTAAACGCACAAAAACCATCGAACTGATTGTTTAACCCCTACGAACCAACGCGTGAATCTAATTTATGCAAACGAACGGACGGAAAAGAGTAAGAAAACTCTCCCCAGAAGAATGTGTAAGAGTACTCTCCTAGGAAGAGCCAGAAGTGTGTGTGTGTGTGTGTGTGTGTGTGTGTGTGTGTGTGTGTGTGTGTGAGGGTTGAAGCTAATTTTTTATACAAATGACTTTAAAATCTAAATAGAAACCGATCGCGAAACAATGATTAGAAAAGAGACAGTTAGGAGTGGGTAAGATGTTAGGTTAGATGTGGGTGTATGCGCGTGAATTTAATTTAAATTAAACAAAAGAAACTGAATTTTATTTACAAATTTAAAAATCAAAACGCGAATCAATTTGACGGAATGATGAGGGTTTGATGAAGACACTGAGAACTATCGCGAACATAACTCTACGTTAACACTTTAAAATTTACAAAACACTATGACACTACGTTAAGCACATCAGAAAACAGAAAAACTACTCTAGTATACGCGAACCACGAATAAAAACTAATCGAGAGGGTAATTTGGACGGCCGGCAAAGTTTACAACATCATTGCGCGATGTGCACCCTTGACCGACCGACCGGGAACTGTGCTCCTCAGGGTGGTTGCTCCTCCTTATATACTTTCCCGGTACCCCCAATCCAACCCCCACCCTGAACTAAGCTCCTCAGGGTAGCTGCCCTTCCGTATATAGACTTTCCAGGTACCCCCACTCCAACCCTCATTCTTACCCCCACCCTGAACTGAGCTTCTCAGGGTAGCTGCCCCTCCTTATATACTTTCCAGGTACCCCCACCCTGAACTGAGCTCCTCTGGGTAGCTGCCCTTCCGTATATACACTTTCCAAGTACCCCCACTTCAGTGTATTTTAGATACTTTGTATGCACAACACATTAATCATGAAAGATAATTGTTTTGTTTACTATTCGAATTCCTAAAAATCGATTAAAGGTCTCAGAAAACTCAACAGGTGGCGCATAGTCGCTAAACTTCTCACTAGCAGAGCCTTAATTTCTAAGATATTAAGGTGAATGAAGTAAAAAGAGACATATGTGAAGGAATAATGAATTTTTATTGAATATTTTCAAAGAAATATTTCTATTTAACAGGAATATCATAAATAAGCTAGCCATTAAAGTCCGCTTGGTATTTGTCGATATCTTCCTGGCTCATTCCATCATGGAGCAAATCAATGAGGTCATATGAAATCACTTTGAAGCTGATAAACCCTCCGAAGCCCTTGGCTCGCTTATAGATGAGCTCTATTGCCGTTAATGGTGCTTTCTGCTCCGGAAAAGTGACTCCCTGAAGATCTATGTAAGGAATCGTGTGCTGGGCCATGTCCTTTTCGAACCCGGTGGTCTGAACCTTGACCTGGTCATTGGGATCAGAAAGGCGAGGGTTTTTTGATGCCTTGACCGGATCATCTAGGTTAGCCAAGCTGATAGTGAACCTGTAAAACCAAAAGTTAACCAAAGAAATTACTGATCATCAGACCTACCTTTTGTTCTGGTACTCTTTCGGCTGGGACTGTGTGTTTTCCCAGGTGATCCAGTCGACCTCGACCTCCTCGTCATCTAAATCAACCGGGTCTTCAAGTTCTCCAGTCTTGACGTCAACTGGCCAAGAGACAATCTGGATCTCCACGGCCTTCTCATTGCTGTTGTACCGGAGCCCGACTCCAACGATCACTTCTCCTTTTTTGGCCTTGATTTTATCGAGATTGATCGACCTTTCGTCCCAGTTCAGGAATTTGAAGTCAAATTCTTCAAACAGCTCGACTTTGGTCTTCCCCTTCTTCATCGAGTATGTACCTTTTCTCGCGTTGTACTTGAATGAATTGAACTTCTTCCACTTGGAAGAGCTGGGATCGATTTCCATGTGGGCTTCCAGTTTCGACTCTTCAATCTGGACGTGAAAAATGTTATCTTGCTGTTGGAACCGAACTCCCGTGACGACCCTGCAACAGAAATAAAAAATATTGTCATTGGCAGATCCTTTGATGATCATCCAACAACATCCAACCCATATTTTGGTTCCCAATTGCAGGATGCCGATTATTTAACCGGATTAGAATCAAATTACCCACTTACATATTATTCTGGATGTCTGCAAACTGGGGAACCAAGCTGATGGTCCTTGTGGCGCTCGAACCTTCATCTTCTTCTGAGCAAATGCAGAGACACATTGAACACTTTAAGAAGTAAGTATCAATATCGCTAAGCTTTTCCTGGGTGCCATTGCATTCAGACGACGGATTGCCCCATCGCTTGTAGGCAGCCTGAACCCAAGGAAACCTCCGGTCGCTGTCTTTACCTAGTGCGCAGTATACAACAGTCCCGCTGCTGAAGCAGCCAAAGAGCCTTCCGTTGCATTCTTTCTTGGGGCAGTGGATTTTTTGATTGAATCCATCTTGCCAGGTGTGGCATTTGTTCATTTGATATTTGTTGATGTTGTCGCAATATTTGGGACACTTTCCTGTCTTGGCAGGTGCGTTAGTGTGTCCTGTATTGAGGGATACGCCCTGGAAGAGGCCCAAGAATTCGCCAAAGGTCTCTCCTGAAAGGGAGTTTGATCAGCTTCTAGGCTTTCGATGGCTCTTAACTTACCTCTGACGTGTTCCGGAGGGTCGCACACTCTTAAGTCGTCCGAAGTTTCCTTGAAGCCGAACTTGCTCGCCAGGATGGTCTCTTCTAAGTACAAAATTGTCCTGGTTAAGCTCTTCTGGCTGTCTTCTCCGGTCTTGAGACTCAGAATGAAGGCCCGTAATTCAGACAAACCTACTGCTTGAAGCACTCTGCGGAGTCTCTGCTGTTCTGGTATCTTTATCTCGCACAAAAATGGCCTCTTACTCTGTTGATAAGCAAAAAGTCATTCAGAGTCGTCTAGGTCTTCCTAGATTTCCTATTCTTACCTGAGCAACCTGGACAGGAAGGTAATCTCCAACAAACAGACTATAAAGCTCGTTAACAGTCTCTGGCAAATCACCCAGCTGGCTCTTGTCATTGTCATCCAGGTCTTTCTGGCCAAACTGCTCCCAGGCTTCGTCGATCTTTCCAACAAGGTCCTTTAACTTTAACAATTTCTCTTCTTTGTCTTCGTCATGCGGGTAAGTGATCAAGTAGCTTTCAATTATCTCTGCATAGTTCTTCTTACCATCGATTTCCAATGCGCCCAATTCTGTTGCTCCTTCTGAAGGGTTATTTACTGCTCCAGTCGCAAATTCTATTAGCTCGTCGATGTTATACACCGAATTGATGTCCAAGGCTTGGGCTAAGCCCAAGAACATCAAAATTAAACGCATTTTAGATATTAAAGAACTGTTGAAAAATGAAAATTTAATCGGCTTATATACACGTAAGTTATCGATTATCGCTAGAAGGTCGACAAGTATGCTATGAGTTGACGGGTAACTACTCTACGATGTTGTTGAAAAAAATTTATAGCTATTTTGCAGGGAAAAAAAATAATAAAATGAATTTTACTCGAACAATTACAGCGATAAACACACTGGAGGTCCTGAAAATTGATAAATTTATAAAGTTAGTTAAAACATTGTTAATATTTATTTTATGCTTTTAAAAAGTTAGTTTTAAATGAACTTTTAAATAGGAAAATTCAATAGGTTCGAAAATTCCTCCGGAACACATCAGAGATAATGTCAAGCTCTTTAGTCATCCAAAAATTTGATAGCCAATCGTTTCATCAGGGAAGACTTTCGGGGAGTTTCTGGGCTTCGTTCAAGGGGTGCACGTCAACGATGGCCACACACCTAACAAAGGTCAAGGCGTCGAATGCGGCAATTCCTGCAACGAACTTAACAACCTCAGAATAGACAGATGCTACAAGATAGAAGGGTGGCTCGATACTCCATCGTATTGCCACGTGAAAAAGTGCTTAGGCAGACTCGATGATTGCACGGATGCTGGAAATTCAGTTGGTTGCGAATTGATAAGTAGAGAAACGTTGGGAATCTCCAGTTTATTGGGAATCTGAGCTTCAATAAACTTTTGAGCTTTAATAAACGCTCATTCATCCAAAAATTGTGTCTTTATTGAGTCCAACCTTGTCCTGTTCCTTAATTTTGGTTGATAAAAAATTTTTTTATCACTTTTTTAACATAGTTGAAATATATTAGAATTTTTTATTTTTAGTTCGTAAAGGCGCCGCTAGGTGGCGCCTAGTAAAATATTTCTATCGCATAGTAGACATGTAAGGCAACCAAATTTTATTTTTAAACTAGTTTACAGTAATTAGTCTAATTTATTAAAATTTTTCTTATTAATAATCAATTTTTTAAAATTTAGTTCCCGGAGGCGCCACTAGGTGGCGCCTAATGTATTATTTTTCTCGCAAGTAGAAATGTAAGGCAACTAAAATTTATTTTTTTCATTTTTAAATACTAATTAACGTGTCATTAAAATTTTTCTAATTATAAATCAATTTTTTTTAGATATTTAGTTCCTGGAGTCATCACTAGGTGGCGTTTAGTAGATTATTTATTATGCAAGTAGACATGTAAGGCAGCCAAAATTTATTTTTAACACTAGTAATTAATAATGCAAATTTTCTTAATTATAAATCAATTTTTTTCAAATTTAGTTCCTGGGGGCGCCATTAGGTGGCGCATAGTGTATTATTTCTCTCGCAAGTAAAAATTTAAGGCAACCAAAATTCAGTTTTAAACTACTACTCACTAATTAGTCTAATTAATTGAAAATTTTCTAATTAAAAAAATCAATTTTTTTTTAATTTAGTTCTTAGAGTCACCACTAGGTGGCGTTTAGTTGATTATTTATCTCGCAAGTAGAAATGTACGGCACCCAAAATTAATTTTTAACACTAGTAATTATTAATTAAAATTTTTTAAATTATAAATCAATTTTTATAAAACTTAGTCCTTGGAAATGCCACTAGGTGGCGTTTAGTAGATAATTTTTCTCACAAGTGCAAGTATAAGGAACTAAAATATTAAAAATAAATAATTTTTTAATGAATTATTTTTATTTAATTATATTACATGGTCAATTGGATATACTAAATAGTAACAATTATCGTCTTATTATTATTATCATTATTATTAACCTTCTCAATGCTAATGGACTTTGTTTGTTATTATATATTATAATTATAAGTGTTAATATATATATATCGCCAATAATTTTATAAATTCTGGAATGTTTTATAAAAAAATTTCCGTCATGGCTGAACTATTAAATTTATATATTTATATATATGTTATGGCAACTTATATAAAAAATTTTTAAATTACGTAAAAACTTAAAAAAAAAAAAAAAAAAAAAAAAAACGTAACGAGTATGAAAATTTTCGAACACAGCCAATTTAACAAAAGGATACTTTAAATAATAAATTTATCTGATTAATAATAAATATAATAATTAAACAGCCTCTTTGATGCTGTCGCGAGATTGCGAGTGAATAACGTGGCGAATTTCCCCTCCGGGAGCGGACTCACGCCTTGATAGTGTCGCGTTGATCGCGTCACGTTTGTTCGCGGCTTCTTTTATCGTCGAGAGGGTTTTACTGAGCCACGGCCAGGAATTCCGAGCTGCTTGGAGTTCTGAAGACGCTGCGTGGAGCTGGTGAGTCAAATCCTGAAATAAAAAATTATTTTTTCTAATTATAAATCAATTTTTAAAAATTTAGTTCTTGAAGGCACCACTAGGTGGCGTCTAGTAGATTATTTATCTCACTAGTAAAAATTTAAGGTAACAAAAATTAATTTTAAAATAGTACTCAATAATTAGTCTGATAAATTGAAATTTTTCTAATCAAAAATCAATTTTTAAAAATTTAGTTTTTAAAGTCGGCACTAGGTGGCGACTAGTATATTATTTATCTCACAAGTAGAACTATAAGGCCAACAAAATTAATTTTTTACTACTAATTAACATATTTGATAGAAAAATTTGTAAATATCAATCAAAAAATAACATTTTTAAAAATTAGTTCTTGGAAATGCCACTAGATGACGTCTAGTAGATTATATATCTCGCAAGTTGAAATTTAAAGTAACAAAAATTAATTTTTAGTTACTTATTAATAAATTTAATTAAAAAATAACATTCTTAAAATTTAGTTCTTGGAAATGCCGCTAGGCGGCGTTTCATCGAATATTTTTTTCGCAAGTAAAAATTTACAAAAAAAAATTTTATTTTTTACCGACCTGATTTCTGCACTCTGCTTCAACGTGAGCGAGTTTCGTCTGAGCTAGCTCGAGTTCTAGTTCTCTGACCCGCTCCTGTGTCCGGTGCAGCATCGGGTCTGGTCGGGAATCTAGTGGGTGAGATATATCCGCGTATACCGCTGAGGATTCCATTACTGTCGTTCGACAATTTGGACAATTTGAAATTTTGTTCTGAAATTTTTCATTTTTATTTATTAATAATTTTCTTTTTGCGAAGAATTGAGTAAAGTTTTTAGTACTTACTCGTAAGTCGCTTAATGCAGTCTTTGCAGCATTGTAATCGTCCTCCAAACGCTGGCAAATCTAAAAAAATAATTTATTTAGAAGAATTTCTATTATAAAATTAGAAAAAAAATTTTAAAGACAAAAAATGGGGTAAATTTTCTAAAAAATGGGTTTTTTTTGACTTGGGGGCGCTGAAAACTTGTCGAAAAAAATTTTTTTTTCAAAAAAATTACAGTGGATCTTAAAGTTAAGACTTTAAGGATGATAAAAATGCCGGCGAAGACATAAAAATAATTAAATATCTATTTTAAATCTTCAATTGAACTTTTAAAAAAATTAATTTTGCGAATTTCTGGTTTTTGAACTTTATAAATTTTTATTAAATAAATTATTAAGTTAAAAAAAAATTTTTTTTATCAAAAATTGTAGCTTAAAGTGTCTTCTTTAAGATAAAATTTATCTGGGTCCAATATTTAAATTAGAAAAAATGTTATGATTATTAAAAGTGTAAAAACTAGAAAAACTAATTAGTCATTGTTAAAAAAAAAAATACATACTTGTTTGTATTCATTGATAATAATAACACTCCTCCGACTCTCAGCGTCAGCTCTAGTAACTTCTCTCTGAAGCATCTCTTTTATCTGAATGAGCTCTAGATCCAGTCGTTGCTTCTCCTCCTCAGCTCTCGCAACCGCTCCGCGAAGTTGCTCCACTTCATTGCTGTACTCGTCCGCGTTTTCTTGGGCCTCTAAAAAAAAATTACCACAATAAACAACAATATTAATAATAATAAATTAAAAATTATATTCAAAATAAAATTACTTGGGAGCAACAAGTTCATTTTGGCAAAATTAATTAATTAATTAATTAATTATTAACAACAAAAGTGACAGACTTTTGATACGAGCCAGCGATTACGACACACGATACGCTCTTGGCTCATTTTAAAACCACTGACTGTTTAGCTTAGTTGTCGAGTAGGCACGTCAGGAATGCAACCGAGGGAGGGGAGCCAGGGGCGTCACACATGCTTCATAATCAGCCACGTGTTTTTTTATCTCCCATACGAGGAACTGACAGTAAAACCATTTACTTTTTAATATTCTTGCTTTCTAATTTTACTCTCATTTAATTATTGTTATTAATTAAATTTATTTTATTATACAATTACGTCTGAATAAATATTTATTTTGATAAAATAAATTAATAATTTATATTTTTTTTAATTAAATTTTAATATAATTAATCAGTAGTATCGTAAAAATTAAAATTTTTAATTTTATATTTCTACTTGCAAGAAAAATAATATACTATTCGCCACCTAGTGGCACTTCCAAGAATTAATTTTAAAAAAATTTTAATTAATTAGAACAATTAATAAATACTAGTTTAAAAATTAAAATTTTAATTTTACATTTGTACTTGCGAGAAAAATAATATACTATGCGCCACCTAGTGGCGCTTTGAAGAACTAAATTTTAAAAAATTTTATTAATCATAAAAATATATGAGTACTAGTTTAAAAATATATTTTTATTGCTATACGTTTGTACTTGCGAAAAAGATAATATACTATGCGCCACCTAGTGGCGCTTCCAAGAACTAATTTTAAAAAAATTTTAATTAATTAGTACTAGTTTAAAAATAAATTTTAATTAACGTACATTTTTACTTGCGAGAAAAATAATCAACTAAATGCCATCTAGTGGCGCTTTTAAGAACTAAGTTTTAAAAAAATTTTTTTGATAGATAATTAAAAATTTTTTTAATTAATTATGTTAATTAGTAATTATTAGTGTAAAAAATCAATTTTTAGACACCTTAAATTTTTACTAGCGAGAAAAATATCTACTAGGCGCCACCTAGTGACGCTTTAAAGAACTAAATTCAAAAAAATTTAATTAATTAGAAATATTAATAAGTACTAGTTTAAAAATAAATTTTATTTGCTGTACATTTTTGCTAGCGAGAAAAAAAAATCTACTAGACGCCACCTAGTGGCGCTTTAAAGAATTCAATTTTGATAATTGTTACTTTTCAATTGATAATTGGAAATTTTAATTATTAAATATATTAATTAGTAATTACTATTGTGAAAAATAAATTTTTAGCTGTTGTACAATTGTACTTGCGAGAAAAAAAAAATCTACGAGACGCCACCTAGTGGCGCCTTCAAGAACTAAACTTTTTAAAAAGTTCTAATATTATTTAATTATGTAAAACAATGTTAAAAAAAGATTTTTTTTTTTAATTAGGAGTTTAAATTTTCAAATTTTTTAATAAAATAAAAATTTTGAAAATTTTTTCAGCGGTACCATACACCAAGCAAGGATAAAAATAACAATTACAGTGCAATAAATACAACTACTTTATTAATACAATTAAAATACACAATAAAGCATACTTAGTGTGAAAAATTACAAAAAAAAAAAAAAATAAAAAAATATTAATAACAAAATACGACTAGATGAATTTGGCAATATTTAAAAAATCACATTGAAAATCATGCACCGGACGGACACAATTATACAAACAGTATAATTAATAATTATACATAGAAAATATAATTACCTTTGAGTGTCATAAATTCGGCCTCGTATTTATTTAATTTTTTAAGCGTTACGGAGCAAGCTAGTTTCATAACATATCTAGAGACTTCTTCGTTTCGGCATCGCTTTGGTAAATGGACCCGGAAATATTTCAATATACTTTCGAAATCCAGTTGAACTAATTCTTTTTTACTCATCTGTAAAAATTTTAAATAGTAATTTTTATTTTAGTTGTTCAAGTAATTTATTTTATATATAAAAAAAAAAAAATAAAATACTTAATGTATTGTTTTATTAAATAATGATTTTTGTTAAATTGCAAGTCTGTACTTTATTAAATATTGACATTTATAAAGAAATAAGCTCATCCTAATGTTATACTCATCAAGACCTTTCATCTGAATACCCACATGCATTTTTGATATATTTTTCATATATACATATATATAATATATATATAAAATATATGAAAAATTGATGTGGGTACTCAAATGAAAGGTCTTGACGAGTGTAACATCGGGATGAGCTTATATCTTTAAAAATGTCAATATTTCACAAGATACAAGGTCATTTCTTAATTATGAAAAATTTTTCTTAAGAAAACTTACCATGAGTATAGCAATAGCAACTTGAAAAAGAGTATCAAGCCCCTGAAGTAAAAACACATCCAGAATATGAAAGACCAGGTACAGAGGGAACCTGGCTGTGAATAAAGTGAGGAACCACTGAGCAGCGAACATATGAGTCTCGACACCCCTGTCGCAGAAGTGCTTGTAGAGTTCGGGCAGCTGGTCCTCTATAAGGCGATTCAGCTGGTAGAACCTCATGTGAAGATTATCAAACCGGTCCTTGTAGAGGTCCCTGAGCCCGTAGTCGTACATGAGCTTGACCAGGACGCAGAAGGCCTGTTCCTCGGGCATGTGAAGCAGGAGACTAGCTACTAGGAAACTGAGGCCCTGGCAGTAGCCAACTTCCTCATCGTAGACGGCGTAGGCCTTGCTGATGCGGTAGAGCGAATCTTGGCCGAGTCCTCCGGTCTCCTTGAAGTAGTCATGCGCTGGGAAGGTCCTGTTGATATCCCTGAGGATGGTGCCCTCGCAGGAGCTCTCCTTGGTAATCAGGACCCGGTACCTGTTATATATATTACTTTAATTGATTTTGCTATTTATTTATTTAATCAATTTAATCATTAATTTATATTATGAGTATTTTATTTCTAATCTTTAGGACCTCTAGATCACAGAAATGTTCAATTTTCATTTCAGGGAAAATTTTTTTAGTAAAAAAAAAATTTTTCTTTTTCAACCAAACTGACAACCCCAAGTAAATTTTAAATTTCTTAATAATTCGGTTAACATTGGTCACATTTTTAAAAGCGAATTTTTAAATATTTTTCTCATATAATTATACTAGCAATTATCATTACAGATTTTTAAAAGTCTATAGAATCACAAAATTATTTATTTAACTTTTTTAAAATAAATATTATTAAAAAAAAAACAAAAATGTCACTAGTAGGGGCATGAAAATTCTCTAGCGCCAATTACCGGCAATGTTAAAATCAAAGGCACTCTAACCTTTTTATATAGCAAATAAGGTCTTATAGCAATATAAGGTCATTTCTTAATTATTGACATTTTTAAAGATATAAGCTCATCTTGATGTTACACTCGTCGAGACCTTTCATTTGAATACCCACATGCATTTTTGATATATTTCTCATATATACATATATATGATATATATAAATATATAAAATATATGAAAAATTGATGTGGGTATTCAAATGAAAGGTCTCGACGAGTGTAACATCAGGATGAGCT